TGGGAAGTGGGGCACAATACTTTGGATCTACTGTCCCCAGTGGACAAAACCCAGCAGACACTATAGTATACCAAGTAAAAACTCAGTTTGATGTTAAGTCCACATAGCAGCTAATACAGCAGCTCTTAGGACTCGAGTTTTAGTGTTCTTAAACATCATAGAAAGTTTGAGGCTAGTGAAATTCCTCAGGCTAAACTTACATCAGGGAAATAAAATGAAGCATGAACCCTGTTGTATTGTTACTTTTTTTTTTTTTTGAGATTGAAAATTGTGGAATAGATTTAGATATGTGAAAACCATTCAGTAATGAGCCTGAAAGATTTAATGTGAATTTTACCCTGTATTACAGGGGAAGTTCTTAGAAAGATTCAAGGTCTACAAATCAAACTTGTGTATTTTCAATGTAAAATTGAAGGAGATTTTGTGGGTCATGTAAAAGTAACTGACACCTGATCTAGATGGATCATGATGGAAATGGAGCAGACTAGAAAAGCACACTTGCACTTTGGTTTGAAAGTGAACCAAATCTGGTGGCTCAAATTTGCAATCTCAGTACTTGAGAGGCTGAGGCAGGATTGCTGTGAGTTGCAGGCCAGTCTGGGGTACAGAATGAAATCATGTCTTTTAAAAAAAATTTGAGGGGGGCTGGAGAGATGGCTCAGTACTAGCCTTTCTTCTAGAGGCCCTGGGTGTGGTTCCCAGCAACCACATCCATAACTAAAAATCATCCATAACTATAGTTCCAGGGAATCTGACATCCTCTTCTAGCCTCCATGGGCATTGCACACACAGGTGCACTTGCATACATGTATGTAAAACATTCACACACATAAAATTGAAATAAATTTAAAAAAAAATTTTAATTGAGGGGCTGGAGCGATGTCTCAGAGGTTAATAGCACTGGCTGCTTTAGTAGAGGACCTGGGTTTAGTTCCCAGCACCCACTTGGTGACTTGCAATCATTTGTAAGTCCAGTTCCAGGGAGTCTGACTCCCTCTTCTAGCCTCCACAGGCATTTGTACACATGTGGCACACAAACATACATTCAGGCAAAACACTCTTACACATAAAATAAAAATAAATCTTAAAAATATTGAAAAGGGGGATTGGGTGTAGTATGAAAGTATGAAGGGTGTGTAGCAGGCAGTAATGGGGAGCAGGGAAGTGGGCCTTCTGTGTGAAAAGCTCCATTACATTTTAAAATATATATCCGTGTACCATGTAGTCTAATTAAAATCTCTGTAGAGATAACTTGATCTTACCAAACCTCTCTCTGCACTTGAACATACATCCAAATAGAAAGCTAGAGTTACATTTTATGGAGTTTTTGGTGGTGGTGTTTTTCATAAATGGAATCTATTACATATGCTTGGAATTTTTACTTCACTTAGTGTCTTGGAAATGTTGCCATATTAGTACATGTAGAACTGTTTTCCTTTTAACTGTTTCCCAGTGTTCCATAACAAAACTGACCATGATTTTAAATAAACCAGCTATTCTTTTGATAAACATTTAAGATATTTTCAGAATTTTGCTATTAGAGGGGAGCGGCCATACCCAGGTGTGCTTCATTATATGTTACGTGTTTACCTGGCATTGCTATATAGGACTATGTTGCATTCTGTTGGAAGCATTCATTACCTAAACTGTCCTTTACAACATGCCATGCTATTCCATAGCACCAGCAACAGTGCCTGAGAATGCCCATTTTCCCACTCAAGTCAATTAAGTCATTTTAATTTTGTCAAAGTGATGGGCAAAGTTGTGTTTTTTGTTGTTTTGATTTTTGTCTCCAAGTTACTTGTTATGTATTATTTGAGTATTTTTGTTTCCAGTCTTGAGTCACCTATTCTTTTGCCAAATTTTTGGTTGATTTTCTTTTTCTAGCTTTGTAAAGGAGATTTATTAGTCTACTATTCTGGGTATTAAGCCTTTAACACACAGGATATTAGTATGCAGATGTGCACTCTTAGTTTTCTCCTTCTCCTTATTTATGTTGTGCTTGCCATAAAGTTCTTTGTTTTTTGATTTTTATTTTTTGAAACAGGGTCTCCCTATAGCCCCAGCTGGCCTCTATCTCACAGATATATCTACCTCTGCTTCCTGAGTGCTGGGATTAAAGGCGTGTGTCACCATATCTAGCCATAAAGAGTTTCTTATTGTTTGTGTAACTAGTTTGTATACCCTTTCTTAGTTTCATATTCAGTTCACTAACAACATCAACAACAATAACCATAATAGATGTACATGATCTTTGAGTACTTACAATGCATTTTTAGTCTTCATAACAATCATGTGAGGTAGTTACCTTATCCCTGGTTTGGGGATGAGCACTATGTGGCTCAAAGAAGTTAAGGTAAGGGGCTGGAGAGACAGCTCAGCAGTTAGAACCACTTGCTGCTCTTGCAGAGGACCCAGGTTCAATTCCCAGCACCCACATGGTAGTTCACCACTGCCTATGCCTTTAGCTCCAGGATATCTGATGCCCTGTTCTGGTCTCCATGGGCACTGCATGCACATGGTACACTTAATGTGCATGCAGGCTATTGCACTAAATTTTCCCTTCTGGCTCTCTGACCCACCCTCACTTACGGTCTCATGGTCCTGACACAGATTGACAAACTGGCATAACACAGTTCCATCTTGGGTTTTGCATGATTTATATGATATTTGGGGGTGGGGGAGGACACGAAACGGCTTTCCATAATCCATGTGCCATTCAAGCCTATCTGTTAGTCTCCATCAGCTTTGGCTCCCACATGCCATCTCATCCCATGGTCTGCCTCATCTCACCCTGCAGAGCCTGCAAGACCGGAAGGGCATCCACCTGGCCATTTGCGCCCCTGCCAGTTTGGCAGGCCTTGCTCCGGTGTTCCCAAAATGGCCAGGCCAACTCTCCATATAGCAGCAGGCTGTGCCTCTCTTTCCAGGGTGCTCCTTGTATTGCCCCTAGCTGGCTTACACTTTTTGGAGGAATGAATAATTTTTGGGCTACAGGCAAAACACACATACACTTCAAATAAAAATAAAATATTAAAAAAAGAAGTTAAGCCTATGACGTTCATATATTTTTAGGTAGACACATAGTACCAGTTCAAATAGCCTTGCTCCAGCAGCTGTACCTTGCATTGGTGCTTTTTAAAGTTATGTTTTTTTTTTTTTTAACTTTGAAATTATTTCTGATGCTAGACCATGTAATAATATCCATAGATCTTTTAAAAGGTAATTTTAAATTGTTTTTGTCTTAAACTTTACCTAAATTTTCTTCTAAATTTATATGCATTTTCGTTTGTTACTTTGCATATAGGTATGGTGTATAGGGGTGTGGGGCTGGGAATTGACCTAGAGCCTTGTGGTGCTAGGCAAGGGGTCCACCACTGAACTATATTCCCAGCCCTACATTTGTTTTGAAAGAGAAAAGTAATCTTTCTTGCCATTGGAGTTCTAAAAATAAAATTTTCTAAGTAGGTGATTTTTTTTCCCCCCTGTAGTTGTTTGAACAGTTCACAGTTCTTTTCACATTAGGCTTTGATTTTTTATATTGCCTAGGGAAGATTTGACTCTTAGGCTCTGCTTTTCCTGACAGTAAGACCTCACCCTCTCTAATCTCACTTCTTCATTGTAAAATGAAGTTTAATAACAGTGTCACATGGTTAAGAGGATCAATGCTCTTAATCCCAGGGTCATGAGTTCATGCCCCATATTGGGTGCCACTCTGCTAAGTCTTATGTGGCTGGATGGTGGTGGACAGAGGGATGGTGTGGTAGCTAATAAAATATTACACACAAGACAATTTAATATTAAAGAAAGCTATGGACTGGGAGTTTCCCTGTTCTGTAGAACAAAGAACCTCAAATTGCTAACTCCCAGAGGTTTTTTATTTTGTTTTGTTTTGTTTTTGTATTTTTGAGACAAGGTCTCCCTGCAGCCCCAGCTGTCCTGGAACTCACTATGTAGACCAGGCTGGCCTTGAACTCAAGAGATCCACCTGCCTATGCCTCCCAGAGTGCTGGGACTAAAGGTGTGGGCCACCATGCCCAGCCAAACTCCAAAAGTTTTTATTAGCAGGATTGAAGTGCTCTAGGCAGGTATGCAGATCAAGGGGCACCTCTCTGCAGGGGCTCAGGAAACAATTAGCAACAAAATGCGGCCTGTTTATAATGTATAGAGCAGATGTTCACACAAGTGCAAATAAGACATAGGATTTTTTGGTGTGTGTTGTTTTGTTTTTTAAATCTAAACCTAAGGGATGCTGCACTTCAGAACCTGTCATCCTAGACTTTCTTGGCTACTGGCCACTGTGACTTTGCATGTAAACCAAGCATACTTTCAACAGAGTTCAAACAGGTTTGTGGTCTCCAAGACCTCTGAAATCCTTACCATTCTGGATGTGTGCCTTGCCAGGCCTAGCAGTTGTTGTTAGCTTAGCTGGTGCTGCAGGAACCATTCATGGAGTTTTTAAATCTCACAGTGAGAGTGAACTTTAGAGATGAGCTGACTTGAATAAATAATTCTTGAAGACGCATCCAGACCGACTGCAGAGCTGTTTGCCTAGAGGAGTTTTGAAAGGCCCCACACTCCAACCTTCACTCCTCGCCTACTAAATCAGACTCTCTAGAGTGCATGGCCCTTTATTTACTTCTAATAACTAGGTTCTAAGCAGTTGGCTTGACCTTGGTAAGCAGTTGTCCAGCTCCTGCTTTAAAGTTTGCCCTTCGTGAGGCGTTTGTGGAAGTGTAGAGGAGAATAGAAAGCAGCTTCTGCTTTTCTTCCCAGTGCCTGTTGTGCATCTGCATGAGGATAAGTTTCACCCATGCTTGGGAATCAGTCAGTACTTCTTTTCAAAGCCTTTTCATTCATCCTAAATTTATTTTCTTCTCATTTAATTTTAAGTTTTAGATGTGTATAAGTTACTATGTTGCATATTATAAATAATAAACATTTGTACTTTTAGTTCTGATAAAATGCCAGATACTCATTTTTCTGTTTTTTATTTTTAGAGCTTTTTGACAACTACATGCAACAAGATGCCCATGAATTCTTAAATTATCTACTAAATACAATTGCTGACATTTTACAAGAAGAGAGAAAACAGGAGAAGCAAAATGGCCGCTTACCTAACGGTGATGTTGACAGTGAAGATAACAACAGCACACCAGACCCAACGTGGGTCCATGAGATTTTTCAGGGAACATTAACTAATGAAACCAGATGTCTTACTTGTGAAACTGTAAGCATATCGGAAACTTGTAGGAAAAAAAAAAAATGTAATTTGTTATGTTAAAAGTTGTTCTTTGTGGGCTGGAGAGATAGCTCAGCAGCTGTTCTTGCAGAAGACCCAGGTTCAAATCCCAGCACCCACATGGCAGCTAACAGCTGTCCGTAACTTCAGTTCCAGGAGATCCAACAGCCTCTTCTGTCCTCTGTGGGCATTACACAACATTGCGGGTGCATTTACCTACATGTAGGCATAACACTCATACACATAAAATAAAAATAATAAAATTTTTTTTTTAAAAAGTAGTTCTTTGAGGACAAGACTATGAGAGATTAACTTGAAAAGTTAGATACAGTATAAATACTGTAGGTCTCCTTTTCAGCTGAAAAGCTTCTGCCTCTACTTTTATGTAATGCTGTTTATTAGTAGTGGATACCTATGATAATAGAAGGATGCTTATTGCAGTTTGAAGTCTTTGATTTTGTTTTTGTGCAGGAGATTTTAGAACCATGTTATAGAAATTATCTGTCAAAGGTAAGGTCATAGAAAACTTACAGGTCATGGAAGTTCAGTCATGAGTCTCTTAACCACAGGGAGAAAAGCCTTGTTAGGTAATTTCATCATTGTGGGACATCCTAGTGTATACTTACACAAACTCGAGGCAGTCTGGACAGTCTAGGTCAGTCATTCCACATTGACTCTTGATATCAAGTCCCTAAATGTGCTGAACATAGATGTCTAAGGCTGCTGCCAGCATAGCATAGCATACTTCTTTAATGAACCTTTCCTGTGGAAGGAATATTCTCTAAACAGCAATAAAATAAAAACACAAAGTAAAACATATAATGAAACAAAATGAATTAATACAAAATGAAATTAAAGTAATAAAAAATGGCAAATACATAAAATTGGCGTCATTTTTAAGCTTTGTGTGCTGTACATAATTGTACATGCTGTATTTCTTTATAGCTGGCAGCACAATAGACTTATTGGCCACAAATGGTGAGTTATGCATTGTGCAGAATGTCACTAGGTGATAGGAATTTTTCAGTTCCATGATAATGGGTCTTATGGATCACCTTCCTCTGTGTGGCTTGTTATTAACTAAGACAAAAATGTGGCACATGATTGGATATTGATTTATTTTCCCCTTTCCTACAGTCATGTTTACTGTCTGTTGTTGAGATAAAACATATTGTGGACTCAAAAGGAGGGGAAAATACCATTTTGGTGGACACTTGGAAAAATGAAGCTTTAAGATTGGTTTTGCTAGGCCTCAGATGGCCCTGTGCTAGAAGATAAATAAAATTCTTCTTCCTAAATAAACTTGGTGGTCAACCTTACCCAGGTGAAATGAAAGAGGACACATTTGGCAGTAGCCTATGAAGGTGTTTTGGGGTTAGAGTAAGAACATCTTTGGTATAAGCTTTTTTCATGGCCCCAACCTTCATAATTACATGATGATGTTTGTTATCAGGAACTGGAATAAATGCTTACTTATATTTTCAATTGAATCAACTCCAGTTCTATTTTAACAGGAGTTTTAAAGATGTATCTTATAAGGAAAAGTGTTAATGAGACTAAATTCTAAGCTTTAAGAATCATGTTGCTAGTTATTACAACAATATTTTCATTGGAATGATATGATCAGGGAATTCGGCTGTTTTGTATATATTATAATGGAATTTGATGTGTTAGAAGATGTCAGAAAAATATGTATGTAGATGCACACACACACTTCAGTCTTCTTCAGTGAAACAAAATAAATTGTTAGGAAATGTACTAATAGATGAGGTTGATGTGGTAGATTGGGACCCTCCAAGGCCTCTGCGACACTTTTTGAATGGTGGGCAGGGAGTAGAGAAGCCACGTTTTTGAAGGAGAAAGTGATATCAACCAAGCCACCCTGTTCAGAGTGCTTGAATATTAGTTAATGTAACTTGTAAGAGATCGTATCTAAGTTACTCTGTGACCTGCAGTATGTATTTGCAGAGAATTTCCCAAGAACTAAGCATGATTTGATATTTCCTTTGAATCTAAGTCATCATTATACAATTCAGTAATGATTATATTACTGTGCTTTTATCAAAATAAGTTACAGGGATAGACTCCAGGATTTCTCAAGATTAAGTAAACATATATCATTTATTTGGTATTGCACAAATTAAGAACCAACTATGCCGGAGAGAGGTTGAGTAGAGGGTGATAGATGATGATTAAGATGTAGTAAGTCTGACCTCAAGATGCCTAGAGAACAGCAAAGGCCCTCTAGTGTTGGATGGTGTTAAAGGCAAGGATGGGCTCTACTGAGAGAATGGCAGACCTAATCCAGTGGAGTAGGGAGCATCTGGAAGGGGAGTTGAGCTTCCTGCAGAAGTTGGTGCAGGGAAGAGTCGGTTCTGGAACCTTTTCTTGTACTGCTTTTCTGTGTTCTATTGAAGTTCCTCCGAGTCTCATTTGTTAGCTTTCCTTTTCCCATTTTTTTCTTAAATGTGGATGTTCCCCACATTTTATTGTGTATTGCTTCCTTCTGCATTGGGAGACTGTGTCTATTTTTATTACACTTGTACTGATGAATTCAAGTCCATATCTCCAGTCTAAAAGTCTTCTACAAGTTCTGGGCTCATATCTCCTGATACTAGCTGTGACATGATATAAGGGTCTAGCCAAAAGCAACCAGGTATGTTTACAACTGCTTTTAAAAGTGAATACTTCCCCACTTGGTGACCGCCTGGTACCAACCCAGTTTGCAGATATGAAAGTAAAATAGTTACACACCTGATTGTGTAGAACAGCCCTGTTAACTTTGGAAATGAAGATCTCTGCCTTAGTGTCTGAGAACCTCATTCTGAGAAACACCACGCTGTTCAGTTGTTTGGAGGCAAAGTCTTACTGTAGCACAGGCTTCCCTGTATCCTCCCTCTTTGTGCTGGTATTATAGACATGTGCCATCACAGCTGACCTGTTACAGGAGTTTTAAATTTACTTCTTTTCAGCCTGTATACCACTGTCTGATGTGGCTGTAGTCACTTCAGCTCTATTGCTTGTCCCATGTCACCCTATCAACTTTCCTACTATTTATGATATTTTTCCTTAAACACATCAGAACACTCTTGCTTGTCTATGAATTCCCCCTATTGCACTTCTTTCTCCACTAGATTGTTTTTGAGACCCAAGCCATTTATGTTACGGTATTACCTTGCCTTCTGTTTTTCAGTGGAATGACATCTTATGTGAGGGTTTGAGTTGTATGGTTAGCTTAATAAAGAAAGTTAGCAGAGTCAAAATCACTCTTGAAACTCCCTTAAACTATCCATAACAGAGCTTGCACAGGACCCTTGTTTACTCATATTTTTCTAAACTTACATGTACAGCCACAGAATATATTACAACTTTGTGATACTGAGTTTATACTGTTGATAAGTTATTTAAAAAGGAAGTGTTTAATCAACTGAATGTATAGTCGGTGTGGTCAAGAGGCCCAGGGAAATGGCAAGTCATGTCTCCTGTTGCATGTTCACTTTGTGGATAGACTCACTAAGCAGGAAATTATGTCTAAAGTCCAGTGGTTCAAATAAGAAGATGATTGTCTCATAGATTACAAACTTTAGATTTTTGGAAGAAACAAAGGCAAGTCATAAATGAAGACTGTAATCTGGTGTTGGGACTAAGTTATTCTCCACTCAGTAATAAAATGTTGCAGGGCCATGTCCTTTTTCAGGCATTTTCATTCATTCTTGGCTCTTTTTTTTTTTTTGGAGACAGGGTCTCCCTGTAGTCCCAGCTGGCCTGGAACTCACTATGTAGACCAAGATGGCTTTGAGCTCACAGAGGTCCGCCTGCCTCTGCCTCTTGAAAGTTGGGATTAAAGGCGTGTTCCACCATAACTGGCCCTTGGCCTTTTTTTAAAGGATCATTGTATGTGGTGTGATATGTTACATTCTGTAAAATGACATTGAGATTTTAGAAAATAGTGTCATTTCTCATCATTCTATTCTTAGCCAATGAGACAGTCAGATGTTTACTTGATGTCCTCCCTGCACATGGGGTGTAGGAAGTATATATTTATCCAGGTCCTTCTCGGTAGTCCGGATCAAGTAGTTGTCTTTCGAGCTTGAAGAGGAAGAGTTGTTTACAAACTATCAGTAAAATTCACTCAGTTCTGTCAGCTGGAAACCAGTTTCCTAATACTTGAAATGACTCCCTGTTTTTACAGATAAGCAGCAAAGATGAAGATTTTTTAGACCTTTCTGTTGACGTGGAACAAAACACATCAATTACTCACTGCTTAAGGTTTGTGTAGAATTCTTACTTTTGAATTTTAATAATTAGTTTAGAATATTTTGGGGTGAACTCATAATTTTCTGGTATACATAACATAAATTTATTTTGAATTTTACACAGAGGTTTTAGCAACACAGAAACTCTGTGCAGTGAATATAAATACTACTGTGAAGAGTGTCGAAGCAAACAGGAAGCACACAAACGGTAATTTAGTGCTTAAGTTAAAATTTTTTTAGACTTTATTATTATTGTGTTTGTGGTGTGTGTGATAGTGCATGTGTATGGCGGTCTCCTTGCACTATGGGATCTGAGCATTGAACTCATCTTCATGTTATATAACAAGCACTTGTACCTGCTGAACTATTTTGCCAACCCCTTTTGAATTTTTTTTTTTATTATTATTCTTTGACAGTGGATATTAGAGGTGGGCTTTTCTAGCTGCAGATGATCTGCAAAAATCTGTGTTGAATGAAAATCCTTAATTGTGTGCTGTGGTATATATTTATGTTGTCTTTGCATGTGTGGATGTATGTTCTGCACAGAGGCCGAAGGAGGGCATGGGACATTGGTGTTTCTGCTCTAACTCTGCCTTACTCCCTTAAGAATAAGGAGCAGGGTCTCACTGAGCCTGGAGCCCACTGTTTTTTAGCTATGCCATCTAGCTAGTGAGCCCTGGTGACTCTTTTCCTGTCTCTGCTTATGTACCCCAACCAAGCCTGGATTTTTTTGTTTTTGTTTTTGTTTTGGTCTTTTTGATACAGGGTCTCCCTGTAGCCCCAGCTGTCCTGGAACTCACTATGTAGACCAGGCTGGCCTTGAACTCAAAGATCTGCCAGCCTCTGCCTCCCAAGTGCTGGGAGTGCCGCCACACTCGGCTTTTTTTTTTTTTTTTTAAAGGTGTCACTATATAGACCTTGAACTCAGAGTTCCTCTTGCCTGTACCTTTCAAGTGCTGGGATTAAAATAGGATTAAAAACATGTGCTACTGTTCTTGGCTCTGATTTTTATTTTAAACACATGAGCTCTGAGGTGCTCATGGTTCTCATGCTTGTATAGGAAGCCTTCTTATGCCCCAAACCATCTCTCTATCCCCAAATCCTTACTTGTAACTATTAACAATGAAAACTCATTGAGTTTTACTATATAAGTGATGTTCTGCTCAGTGTTTTTTTATAAAATCTCTGTACTTTCAGGTGATTTTCTCCACTTACTGATTATGTTATAATCCTAAACCAATATAGGTAAAATACTCAGTTTGAAGCTTTCCCAGTTACTTGTAGACTTTTTTCTTTGTGAAGGAGTGTGAGAGAAAAAGTGTTCACTTCATCCCAGGTTCTGCTATTCCCACATAGGAATAAATTATTATGTGTTCTCCTACATGTATTTCAAAGATTGGTTTTGGTATCAACAAATGGAAGCATTGTGTTTTCATACAATCTCAGACTCAGAGAAAAGTTGCATGAGCAATACCAGGAATGTTTCTTTACTGTAAACCATTTGAAAGTGTGTTGTTATGTGATGGTCTGTGACCCCTGGACATGTTAGTGTGTATTTCCTTCCAACAAGGAAGTTTTCTTATATGCTCATATCCATTCAGATAGGGAACGTGTCAGTGACATGTAGCTGTTGTCTCAGATCTGAGCATAGCCTAGCCTAGAATCATGTTACTTTTATTACGCATGTCTCTACTTTTTTTTTTCTTGACTTTTCTGATAACTTAAAAAATCACAGGCTAGTTATTCCATAGAATGTCCTTCAGTTGGGTTTTCTTGTGATTAGACTTAGCTTATGCATCTTAGAAAGTTATTTTTCAGGTATCTTTGCCCTGTTAAGAAGCACACGAATGCAATATGTCCTATGTGTTTCAGTATGCCCGTTTGATGTTTCCTAGAAGAACTTGGTACTTGGCATGGAGTCATGTTCACAGCTAAGATTATCACAAAGAAGGGTACAGAGCATCCTTAGCACAGAGCAAAGCCAGGCGTGATCCAAGAGGCACTCCTCTGTGAAGTCACAGTATATGGAATTTCTTCAGCATGGTGACATCACAGCAAGCTCTTTATAGACTCTGTGTCCAATATTTCTGTTACATATAGGTGCATCGTCATATAGGCACCCTCTGCCTACCTTGCACCAAATTCTGAGCGCCCAGAAGGAATGCAGGTGTTCAGCAAAAAGCATACTTTTTTAATAATTTGAGCACAAGGAAATCACTTGGACATTTTTAGAATTTGGGCTACTCCTCCTTGTGCTAGGAGTGGAACCTAGGGCCTGGTATGTGCCAGCCAATGCTCTACTACCCAGCCCTTAAAATATACTCTAAGAGCATTTCTGTAATAACAGATCGAGTGTCCTCTCCAGTCTCTCCACACAAGTTGAAAGGGAGGAAAACCAGAATCCTATACATTCTTTGGTGTTTTGTTTTTAAATTTACTTTTATTTTATGTATATGAGTGTTTTGCCTACCTGTATGTAAGTCACCAAAGGGTGGAATGTCTGAGGAGGTTAGAAGAGGGTGTTGGATCTCTTGGAACTGGAGTTAGGAACAGTTGTTCACAACTATGTGGGTCCTGGGAACCAAAACCTAGTCCTCTGAGGGAGCAGCCATTGCTCTTACCTGCTGAGCCACCTCTCCAGTCCCTCCTTGGAATGCTTTGAGCAGGGGGAAAAAAACTTTTTGATTTCTTCTACTGCAAAATAATGAATTGAAATTCACATTCCTTATGTAAAATTTCATAAAATTATCCAAGCAGTTTTGTCTTTTTTTCCAGAACCATTTTAATACAAGGGAAAATTTATAAGTTAGCCTTTCATTTAAATACAGCTCTACAAGTATTGTACATTCTCATGTTCCTCCTGGTGGTGTGGGTTCTTTTGTGGTAGTCTCTAGGTTTCCTGTGGGGGACACTACAAGTAGCACTTATAGTCTTAATATGTTGTCTGCTGAAACACTACATGTGTTGCATGTTATCGATTGGATTTTTTTCTTTTTAAAATATTTGATTTATTATTTTTATTATGTTTATGAATGTATTACCTGCATGTATGTAAGTGTGCCCATGTCATGCAGTGCTCATGGAGGTCAGAAGAGGGTGTCAGATCCCCTGGAACTGGAGTTACAGTCAGGTATTAGCTGTCATGTGGGTGCTGGGGATTGAACCTGGGTTCTCTGCAAGAGCAGCCAGTGCTCTTAACCACTTAGCCATCTCTCTAGCACCGTGAGATATGTTTAATTTATCTTATTAGATTGCTTTCAAATTAGGACTGTACATTTACTTCTGTTTTTGCTAATGTTTTCAAATGCCTGAGTTGGTTAAATAGTAAATATTTTAAGACTAATATGTTCTCCATTTCATTTAAGATTTGTAAAATATAAATTTTATGTAATACTATAAATGCCCTCCTCCCTTTTTAGAGGCAATGACAGTAAATTTCATTTAAAAAAAATTATACAGTACTTTTTTTCCTATTGAACCCTATGAAATTTGCTTCCAGAATATTTAGCAAAGACCTATTATGCTAGATAGTGGTGAAATAAAAACAAATGAAATGGCTTCTACCTACTGAGAATTTAACTTCAGGAAGACCCATAGTCACTTAAGCCTGTTACTGTGTAATCTCGGTGCCTATAAAGTGAATAAATAAAGTGCTGATGGAGGATTAAAGAGTTCTTATTTGTACTAGAGAATGTAAAGTTGGAGCTGTGCTTTAAAAAAGTAGATGTTGGAGAAGGACTCTAAGGCAGTCTTGGGGAGAAAGCATTTAAGAGAGGCAATTATTATATTAGAATGTTTCACAATTAAAAAACAAACTCTTAAATTTGCAGATTATTTTATTCCTCTTCTAGAACATAGGTAGTTCTCATTCTTGATGCTTCTTATTTCTGGCAAATTCTCTGAATTGAATTGTCTTTATACCGTTGTCTGAGTTTTCCTGGGGAGATGTCCATTCGCTCTAGCTATGGCACCGATGACAGACCAGGGAAGTCTAGCTTGGTGTACTACTGAGTTTATTGGGGTCCTTCATACTCACAGGGGCATGGGTACAGCTCATGAAAGCTGCATCCCTGGGTCTCTCTGCTCAACTTGCAGGCAGCTACACTGAAGAGTCTTCTCTTTCCCAGTGTATGTAATTAGTCAGGGTTCTCTAGAGGAAGGAAACTAACAGACTAAATATGTATTTTAAAATGTATTACATTCGCTCACAATGACACGGTCTAGGTCAGCTGAGAATCTGGTAGCTGTTCAGTCCACAGTGCTAGGTGCCTCAGCAGTGAGTTAGGATGCCTGAAGAAGCTGGTTCTCAACTAATAAAGTGATGGAAGCAACAGCAGCAAATAGGGTAGATGAGCCATAGTGAGACATGAAGACAAACAGGCAAGAAGCAAAGCTTTTTTTCTCCAACTTCCTTTTATCTGAGTTACTACTGGAAGGTGCTGCCTACATTTAGGCTGTTTTCTAGTTTGCTTTCTGTTGCTGTGATTAAGCACTAACCTAAAACAACTTGGAAAGGAAAGGGTTTATTGTATTTCGCACTTCAAAATGAAGTGCCTGTCGTTAAGGAAGTCAGGGCACAGACCACAGAGAAATCCTACTTACTGGCTTGCTTCCTCAAGCTTGCTCACCTGTTTTCCTTATACAGCCCAGGACCACCTGCTTAGGGATGGCGCTGCCCACAGTGGGCTGAGCCATCCCACTTCAATTAGCAGTCAAATGAATGCTGCACAGATATGCCCACAGGTAACAGATGGAGGTAATTCCTCAATTAAGGCTTTGTTTTCCCAGGTTACTTCAGTTTGTCTCAAGATGACAAAAACCAACCAGCACAGTTGACCACTTGTCAACATGACACTCAAACATATCACTGTTAAGCCATCACCTCTTGTTTATTCCCAAGCTCTCACATTAATATCATAGTACAAAATGCAGTCCAACTTTTAAAAGTCCTACAATCTTTTTTAAAATTCCAGAAATTTAAAAATCCAAGTTTTCTTTAATAATCTAGTCTCTTAACTGTGAGCTCCTGTAAGGCAACTCCACTCCTCTGTCTCTACCATCTTCAGATCTGCAGCACACACAACCTGTCTTATAGGCTCAGGCCAGTTCTACTCCACCTCACCACTGTCCCTGGTGGTCATCCCGCAGTCCTGGCATGTCAAATAAGCTGCAACTGAGGCTGTACCTTCACCAGTGGTCTCTCTTATTAGCCTCTCATGGTGCCAAGCCTCAGATTCAATCCTAGGGTTTCTACTACAACTGAGGCTACACTGTCACCAGTGGCATCTCCTGGCTTCTGCAGGGACTCCAACCCTGCCAACATGGTGCCAAGCCTCAGTTTCTCTCCATTGGACCCCTTCAATCCTGCAGCTTTCATGACATCAAAACCAGTACCATGTGGGAGACTCCTACACGTCACCAAAGATGACTTCCTGTTTCTAGAGGTAGCCTTGACTCCCTCTGGACCATAGCTTCTGTGTGCTGACCCTGAAGAAATACTTCCAAAAAGATTTCACCTCAGTGATGCTGGTCTCTTATTAATCACAGCTGATTTTTCAGCACCAGCTAACCAGCTTCAATTGTCCCAGCAAAGCAAAGATTTCACTTCAGTGACACTGGTTTCTCCTTAAACATTCTTCAGCCCCACCTGACCAGAAACCACAGATTCTCAATTCAAAATATCACAGGATCAGCCCAGATAGTCTTTGAAGGACTCTCAAACTTCCATCTGACCTTCACCAGCCAGGCCTCCATTGTCTGTACTGCTCTTTGCCTTGTCTTCCAGGTTGCCACAATAGTGCACTAAGCCCTAAGCACTCACTAAGTGGCTTTTTCATCCCAAAGTTCCAAACACTTCCATGGTCCTTCCTCAAACCAACATGGTTAGTTCTATCGCAGCTAGAACCCACTCTTTGGTACCAGTATCAGTTGTAGTTTGGTTTCTGCTGCTGTGATAAAACTTGGAGGAAAGGGTTTATTTAAGCTTACAAATTCCAGGTCATAACCCAACACTGAGGGAAGTCAGAGCTAGAATTCAAGGCAGGAACCTGGAAGCAGGAACTGAATGAAGCCAAGACCCACTGGCCTGCTGTCCCTGGCTTGCTCATATGCTTATACAGGCCAGGCCCACCCACCCAGGGATGACACCTCTCAAATTTCTTTTTAATCAAAATAGGAACCATTACAATCAACACCTTTTTTGCCAATGAAAAATAAGTTTGTTTATTCCTATAGTGTAAAAATCTGTTTTTGGATTCAGTGAACTCTTGGAAAGATTTCTGCATCCTATTTGTAGAAGTGTTTCCCCTGAAAAAATTGTTGAGATGCTTCAAGAAGTGTTAGTGAGTTATCAGGAGGTCAGGTAGATATGGCAGATGAGACAATTATGAAGCCCAATTTATTCAGCATTTGAAACGTGGGTGGTACGGTGAGGGGTTAGGCATAATCATGGTTAAGAGCTGAGCCCTTTCTACTCACCAGTGCTGGCTGTGAGCATTACAGCTTTCAGTGCAGCTCATGATTTGCTCAGCATATTTCTCAAATGGAATGGTCTTGCTGAGATTCACAGAGTTTAGGGAGGAAAACAGCAGTAGTGACGGTGACCTTTATCTGGTCAAGTTTGGTTTTGGGAAGGAAGTACTCTGGAGCTTCTTCTCAGCTAGATGTTGCCTGTGGTCATAGACAATCCACTTTCCATCACACCTCACAGTCCAATAGACAAGTGGTTCATTGTGTAGACTATGAGAGGACAACAGTTCAAGACTGATTTAAAGCAAGTTTTCAGTAGCTTATGAAGTACCCAACTTAACAAACCTTTTCAGTGTGCTTCAAATGCCAAATGACTGTAGAACAGTCCATGTTAAGCTGTTGGCAGCTTCTCCTGTAGTTATAAGTGGATCAGATCTGATGATTGTTTTCATTTGGTCACTGTCAACTTGCACTGGCCCAAAGCCTTCATCTCCTTTGTAAAACTTGAACCACCACTGTACTGTATGTTCCTTAGCAGTTCCTGGGGCCATTTGTCTTGGCTACTTTACAAGCCATTTTAAGCTCAAATTAAAAAAAAAAAAAAAATCACTTGAATTTACTTTTTGTCTAATAGCAGTTCCACAGTATAAAATAAATATAAAATTGGGGTTGGAGAGATGGCTCAGTGGTTAAGAGCACTAACTGCTCTTGCAGAGGACCTGGGTTCAATTCCCAGCACCCACATGGCGGCTATGGACCATCCTAAGTCCAGTTCCAGGGGAATCCTAAGCCCCCTTCTTGACCTCCCCAGCATTGCACGACACGGGTGCACTCACATACATGTAAGCAATACACTCAAACACATAAAATAAAAATAATAATTTTTTAAAAATATATAAAATAAACAGCAAGTAATGTCATCAAAAAAGTTTAAAGCCGGAAGTACATTGAAATAATGTATAGCACAACCACATTTATTAAGATCGTATTTCAAAGTTACGTTTGCACCAGCTTAATGGTTTTTTTAAGGACATGGTGAATGTTTTATGAAATAATGTTTTCATCTTTTAACAGGATGAAAGTTAAGAAACTCCCCATGATTCTGGCTTTACACCTGAAAAGATTTAAGTATATGGATCAACTTCATCGATACACAAAACTTTCATACCGGGTAGTTTTCCCTTTAGAACTCCGTCTGTTTAACACATCTGGAGATGCAACCAATCCTGACAGAATGTACGACCTTGTTGCTGTTGTGGTTCACTGTGGAAGGTAATCGTGACCCTGGGGCACAGAAGTCAGTAAAGCAAAAAGTTCCTTCAGGATGTTCACACCAGACACTGGTGGGGACCACAGGCTTGTTATTTATTTATTTTGATATAGGTCTTCGCTCTGCAGCTCAGGGTGGCATGGAAGTCTTGATCTTCCTGTCTCAGCTACCTGAGTGCTAGAATTACAGATCTCTGCCACCACACTTGGATGGACACTAACATTCTTCATTGTCAGTTTGTTTTAAAATTGATTTTTCTGATACATATTTTATCACTTTTCCTTAAAGAATATATACTTTAAATTATTGCCTTTTTATTCTTATTTATTAGTCTGTGGGCCCTATGTCTGTTTCTAGAACTTTAAGGTCTATTAGTTTTCTTTACCTTTTTTGTTTTTGTTGTTGTTGAGATGATAGACTTTGCTAGATAAGTTGTTTCTGAGGTTAGTTATGTTCCTTAACCGTGGCTATCAGAAGCACTAGATAAGTTGTTTCTGAGGTTAGTTAAGTATGAACCTTAACCATGGCTATCAGAAGCACTTAAAGTGGCTTTGGAAATTATCTTCAGAGTTTGCTTTTCTGATTTTTATTAGTGTGTATATTTATCATCTCTGATTAGCAAATTTAGTGTACAGTCTCCTGCTAATCCTCCTTTCCACCCTGTGTTCCAGATCACCTTATATATGTGTTTTCTACATGGACATATATGTATGTGTTTCTTCTGTGTGCAGGGTGGGGATAGACATAATTGGGGACTGAATTCAGGGTCTTACATATGCCAAGTAAATACTTTTCCATTGTGCCTAGGTCTCATAAAATTTTTTATCTTGAGAAAGGGTCTCATTGGCCTTCTTTGTGATCTTCTTTCAACCTCTTCAGAAGGTGGGATTACAGGCCTGCATTACCATGCTGATCTATATTTTAATTTATAAAACAATTTATAAAATAATTCCAAACTTCCAGACCATACCATGATGAAAACTTGTATTCAGAACACACAGTCTTTACTGACTGTCTAGAAGACCCTGAATGATTTTTAAATGGAAATACATCCCTTTTTGTACTGATTTTTTGAAATTAAAATTAGATGGCATTTCAAATAAAAATACCTATCTTTTTTAAAGGAAAGATATGGGACATTTTTCTGTTTACCATTTTCTTCAGAATACTTGAATTCAGGCCAAGAAAATAGCATAAATAACACTGTACACGATTAATTTTTCCTTTCTTTTCGTTTCAGTGGTCCCAATCGAGGCCATTATATTGCAATCGTTAAGAGTCATGATTTTTGGTTGTTGTTTGATGACGACATTGTAGAAGTGAGTACTTTCTTAATTTCTTCATTTTCTTCCCCTTCATAGTTTCTCTTTCATCTATGACTAGTAGAAAGTATTAGATAAATAGATTACAGTCTGATTCCTACCTTTTACTCCCTACTGTCCAAGCCCAGAGCTTGTGTGGCCACTCAGTCTTACACATCCTAGAATAAACAAGGAAAAGCTTTCAGTCATATTGTGTTGTTTTTTAAAAAATGTTTCTTCTAAAAAATTATTGAGCTGTATAACAAAGTACAGGAGTCCTAAGCTGCATTTGCATATGCATTTGCATAGGCATGCTTGCTCACATGCAGTCTGTAAGCACCAGCCAAATGAAGAGGTCATGCATTTCAATACCCCAGCAGGCTCCCTGAGCCTCCTCCTTGCTCAGCGTAGCTCTCCGCATCTCTGCCCTCCAGCCCCCAAGGAACTAGCTGTTTGGACTTTTATTATGATGATTAATTTTCCCTGTGTTTGAATATAAATGAATTCATATAGTAACTTCATTCAGTCTGGCTTTCCCCTTACTATTTTTTTTCTTTTGTTTTCCCCTTACTATTTCATTGTGAAATTTATTCCTGTAGTTCTCACAGTAGAAATAGTGATAGTAGAAATTCTTTTTCACTGCCTTAATTTTCTGCCATGTAGCAAGTGAGACTTTGGCCTCTTGTCAGTTATTGACTGTCATGAACATAAATGCTTTGATCATTCTTGTACAAATCTTGTATTGACGTACACTAATTTTTCTTGCGTCTACATTAGGTTCAAACATTAGAAATTGCCATTTTTGCAGGTCCAAAATGGTTGATAACTATTGTGCTTCATATGGTTTGACCTACACCTGAAAGTAGAATTACTAGCTCAAAGGTAGTTGTGTGCTCAGCTTTAGAAGTATCACCAAATGCTTCTTTACTTCCTGTCTGTCATGCAGTGGAGGACTGTTTCCCCCATTCATACCAGTATTTGATATTGTCAGTCATTTTAATTTAAACCATCCAGTTGTCCAGAGCTTGTTGGTGTACTAACATTTACATTTTGCCTCTCAGAAAATAGATGCACAAGCTATTGAAGAATTCTACGGGTTGACATCAGATATCTCAAAAAACTCTGAGTCTGGTTACATCCTTTTCTATCAGTCTCGGGACTGAAGGGAGCCGCAATGAAGAGACACTTTCTGCCTCATTTCTTCTCTGGTTATTTCGGAAAAGATCAAGCACTGATTTTCAAGAAAAGAGAAATGCAGGAAGCTCAGGGGGCAGTAGCACACTTTGCACACAGTAAAGCAAAGACTGTGGGTGAACACGCCCTTCCTATCACGGTAGTTGAATTTTTTGCTCAGGAATCATGCTGTCTGTCAGTTCCATATAAGGAAATGAAATCAGAGATGCCAGCTCCTCTTGTAAAGCAGCCTTCCAGCTATTGACACACATTTTCTCTTTATTAATTGCACCAAGAATGATTTGAATTCCTTGGGAGGGCAGTAGAAGAATTGGAATCTGTGCTAAGCTGATTGATAATTTAAGAAGATGACACTGAACACTCCACATACATTGCCTGTGTTCACTCTGTACAGAAGCATATTCAGTGATCTTTTCAAGCATAAACCAGAAATACCTTTGGGCCCAACACTTGCAGTTGCCTTCCTGATGTAAAAAGTGAATAGATACCAGAATCCAGTGTCAGGAAGACAAAGATGTTTTGCTTCTCTGAAGAAGCTTATAATACTATACAGTATATGTATATGTAGGGAACAATTGGTCAAAATTGGCTTTTTGTTTCCCCAAGGGGAAAGACTGGCTTTGTAATTATAATTTTTTTCCTTATTTATTTTACATAAACTGGTAGAATCTAAGTATTATATAAAGTACCCACGATTCTGTCAGCAAATTTTAGCATATTTTTATTAGTTTGTCAACTTAAGTAGTCCTTTTGTTTGTTTCTATTTTTAAGGTGAATTGAAAATTCTAGCTGAGATCACTAAGATAATCATGAGAAACTTTGCAATGAGGGAGGTAAATACTCTTTTTCAGGAGGAGCTGATATCTCTGGCTAAACATTTGTTGTTTTGTCACAGTTTATATGTCATTTGTTTTATTAAGCTTTGGGTAAAATAACTCCCTACTGTTGGAGTAAGAAGTTCCAGTGCATTGGTGGTCTACCGTTTGTTAGGGTTCCTCAAATTCTAGTGTTTCCAGTTGAGCTATGCTTGGGAAAGTCATGACCTCAAGGTTGTGTTATTTTTCAAGCGTCTCTTTTTTTCAATCTTAGAAAGAAGTAATTGATTCAACAGACCCTAGCAGCCTGGATAGTAGCAAAAGCCCTTTGGAGATTATACCTTGAAATAGGCCAGTGATCTAAAAGAGACCTTTGTCCCTTTTTCATATTATAAATCTAATCAGAAGAGTGTTCTGATTAAGACTTGATTCTGTTGAGAGTTTTAAGAAATAATACAGGTAGTGTAAAAGGTGTGTAAACTATTGCTCACATTTTCCAGGCATCGAGTAAGTGGTCTGACAGTGGCCAAAAGTAACTTGCAGAAGATAATTGACAATTGTATTAAAAATAATAGTCGTCAGGCTGTGGGTAGTTATCGCACTCTTCAGGCAGTGATTTATTGGTGGTGTTAAATTCCATAATTTTCTCTAAAGTTATTTTTACTAAAACTGTTGACTCTGAAAAACAGCAAAAAGGAATGTTTTTTGTGCTGCTATTATTAACACTTTAATATCTGTACCTTTTAGCTCAGGAATGACTTCATCTATTCATCCCATAAGCAGATTTTTAACAGGGTCACTTAGCTAATTGGGCTGCTTAGACAGATATGCTGGGAGAAAGTTATGATATTTTGACAAATTCATTTTTACAGTACAGTTTCTGAAGCCTTACTCTGGCTGGTGTTGTTTTGTATACAGCAGATATATTCTGCCTGACCTACCAACATTGCACAGAGAATCACAACCAAGAACGTGGGGAGAGTCAGAGCAGTAGGAGTACTTGCATTCTGAGGGCTCAAACCAAACAGTCTTGGAATTTAAAACTGTATTTTTGCAGCTTCATGTACAGAGAAAAGAGGTAGAGTGAAGCCTAATATCAGCTAGGACAGCATGCATAAGGAAGATAGGGGAAGTGATTTGCTTAAAGGTACAGCATTGAAATACTGTGTTGTGTTTGCTTTTATATTTTTTGAATAAAAAAGTAAGCAGGAAGAGCCTGGTTAAATTTCGTATTATGGCAAGTTGTAGCATTGGGCCAAGTTCTGTGGGAGTTACACTTTGTTCATGTCCACACTGTGTTTCATCGTATAATTTACAGGGAAGGAACTGTGGGGTAATGGTTCTAAAATCACTCTTTATTCTTAGTGCAGCTGGATCTAAGAAAACATTTTGAATTTCATCAGAAGCTCAATATACTTTAAAAACATACAGGGTTAGGGGTGGGGGGGAACACAGGTATAGTAAGTAAGAAGAGTAACCAGTCTAGGAAGGTGATCTGTTGGTTGGCTGTGATTAAAATGAGGGCAGATGCAAGTTGTAAATGAGGCTGATTGCTATATAATTATGTACATGTTTGTTGGGATAGCTGTCCCATATTTTATATATTGGAATAAAAGTTTCTATGAATTATCATAACTAAAGGTAAATATTCTAAATGAAGTCCTACTTCTAAGTCACATGGCTTCTGTCTTGGGATTTGACCCTGAGAAGGTTGCTTAGGACAGGAGCCAGGAGGCTTCGAAAGGGGAATGTAGGAGCTCTAACTATGTGGGCCTTGGTGGCCTCAAGCATAAGTGTAGGGTTTTTTCCTTGATGGCAGTGGGAGACCTCATTTTCCTAACATACTACTCTTGATACTTTCTGTAAAGATACTTTTCATTAAAGATTCTCTCATGAGGTATTTGGCTAGGAGCTGGGAGGCTAAGGTGCTTGAGTCCTGGCTCTTCAGTGAACTTAACTGTGTGACCTTGGGCAAGTCACCTAACCTCTCTATGCTTCAGTCTCCCTCTCTTGTAAAATGGGAGTAATACCTACCTCACAGGGTTGTTGTGGGGATTAATTAGAGATAATGTCTGTAAAGCATTTAAAGTTCTTGAAGAAGGCGCTATATAAATACAAAATATCTATTAAAGTTGGTTTATTTGTGCTTGTTGGTTTTTCAGCATTTTTTTTCCTTTTTGCCTAAAATGTATTGAAATTAGAAGTACTCACTTTAGAAATTGTATTACTACTTTTGTACAAGTTACTGTTTTTATTATCCAAGAAAAAATTTCCCTCGAAAATTGGATGTCTAAAACAATGTTTCGTGTGCCCACATTTAATTAGCAGCAGTCTGCTGTGTGTTTTCCATCACCAACAAAGATTCCCATGTTCACCAACTTCTAAGGAAGAAAAGTTTTATTTGGGCTCATAGTGTTGGGGTTTGGCCCCATTGCTTCAGCCGGTGTCTCGGCAACATAGTAGCCCAGGAGCCTGTATGGAGGAGCTGCTCACTTCCTGGCAACCTGGAAGCAAATTGAAAATGGGGCTGGGGCACCATCTTCAGGATCCCGTACCCAGCTACCTAATTTCCTGCCGGTAGCCCTGCCTCTGAAATGTTCCACCACCACCAGAATTGCCATGGGCTGCCACCCCATGCCTGCACCACATGGGCCTTTGAGGGGAACCCTCCAGACCCAGACTGGTCTTTATGTAATAGCATCCCTTTTGAGACAGATCACTAGTTTATACTTTAACACACAGAATGAGACTGGTAGAGGCGCATACCTGAAAGCCAGTGTCTGCCTTCTCCTTCCTCTCTGTCCTTCCTCATCTTCTTCCCTTGCCATCCTCCCTTGCAGTACAGGCTTTGCTCCTGGAACATGTTCAGCATGTGCTCAGGCTCTAGTTTTGAGTGGCTTGAATTGTTCCTTGTGTTGTCATCCCTGGTCTACCCATTGTCCTCCCAGCAGCCCTCTGGCCTCAGGACTGACCTTTATGTGGTACAGCATTGAAAGGCTTCACACTCTTGGGAGCCCTATTCTGGAAGAATTCTTTGTTTAGGGTTCTGAAAGAATGTTCTCAGAGCAGTGAGTGAGCCAGGCTGGCCATGAGCACCTACTTTAGAGTAGATGGCTTCTGTTTTCTAAACCGGTATTGCACATTTCCTATTTGATCTTCAGTAAATGAAATTATGTCTTATCACAAGTGTTCACAGGCTGTTGAAAAACCAACACGTTCTCATATCATTTCAAGTTCCTTTGTTAGCATTACCCCATGTTAGCCTTTTAAAGTTCTTTCCCACCTCTCCTTACCATGTTTTCTGTGATAGTTTTATCTCTTTTTGTCTCTAGGATTACTGAAATAAGAACTCATGGATTTTGGATGAGGCCTGCTGTGTGGCCCTGTACTTAGTATTTTACTTCTTTCGATGTTAATCTCAACATCTGTATGGTAATAATAGCTTCATTTTATTAAAAAAAACCTGTCACTCTCCAGAAGTCAAGTAATTTTCCCACAGTCATTCAGCTGGAAAGCATCAGATCCAGGTTCCAAACACTTACAACTTAAGTGCCCAAGCTTATAACGGTGCTTTTGTCAAAGGAGTCCTCCCATTGTAGTAAAATAAAATAATTACCATTTTGACCATTTCTGAGTGCTGTGAATGATGCTAAGTGCATCTATCATACTGTGCAGTTACCAACACTCCATCCTCGGAGCTCTTTTCATTATCCCAGAAAGGATTGTCCATTCTAAACAGTGACTCCCAACAGTAATCTTTGTTCTTCTTACTCATCAAGCCTCTGGTCACCTCTGAGGTGAGTCTGTGTGGCTGCTGTACACACACCTTGTAGGTAGCATTGTGAAGGATTTGTCTTGTGTCTGCCCTATTTAATGTTTTCAATGTTCAACCATGTTTTAGTGTGTGCTAGAATTTTCTTTTTTTTCTTTTTTGGATTAAATTTTGCTACATAGCCCCAGACTGGTCTCAAGCTTGCAATCCTACTTCCTCTACCTCCCTTACAGAATTTCCTTTATTTATTTTTTTATTTATATGTATATTTTTTTGAGACAGGGTCTCCCTGTAGCCCCAGCTGGCCTGGAATTCACTGTATAGATCAGGCTGGCCTTGAACTCAGAGAGATCCACCTACCTCCTCTGCCTCCTGAGTGCTATGCTGGCTTATGTAAGCTTTTGAAAAAAGGAAATCCTTGCTGCACATGGTGGTGCACTCCTTTAATCTCAGTAGTTGGGAGGCAGAGCTAGGTGGATCTCTGTGAGTTCAAAGCCAGCCTGATCTACATAGTTCCAGGCCAGTACAGGGAGACCCTGTCTAAAAACAAAAATGCTTAAATAATATTCTACATCTCTGTTCATCTTTTAATGCCTGCTACATTTTTTATACCTATTGGGAGTTGAGAGTAATAACACATTGATATGCAAGTTTGAGCCTTGATTTCAGTTCCTCTGGATGTATTACCTAGGTAATGCTGAATCTTCTGTGCTTAGCATTTAAACAGCCATACTGTTTTCATTAGTGACTGCATCAGTTCACATTCCCACCAGCAAAGCACCAATTTTTCTGTTCTCATTTGTTCTCAACCTTCTTCTTAACATTCGTTTTGTCGTCGTTTTGTTTTATTGTCATCTGAATAAGTGTAAAGGGTCCTGACTCTAGGTGATGTGATTTGCATTTCCCTACTGACTAGTGATGTCAAACATCTCTTGTGCATATTGACCAGAAAATGCTAGTATAGTAGAGCATTTGCTGACAGGCTGTTTTACTTCTGATTTGACTGCCTTTCACTTCCTTTGTTTAGTTGCTCTGGCTGGAACCTCCAATACTACTACTGAGGAACCTCCAATACTACTACTGAGTAGAAGTGGAAGGAGGTGTCCGTGTCTTTCTGATCTCTTGAGAGAAACTTTCAGTCTTGCACTGCTGAGTGTATATTTTTTTCACATGTGGCATTTGTCATTTTGAGGACATATGCTTCCATTCCAGTTCAAACACCTCCTGCAGCAGTTGCTCTAATCACTTTTTACCCCTCACCCCCACCCCATCATCATATCAGTGTGGTATATAACAGTGGTGGTCATTTGGGGATCCATCCTTGTAATTCTGGAAATAAATGCCTCTAGGCTATGGTATGTACCTTTTTAGTATGCCCCTGCTAGACTTTTGCTAATAGTTATTCCTATCAACTGATTGATACTAGAGTCTGTAGTTTGGGTTTGTTTGTTTTGTTCTTGTTAACTTCTTTCTTTTTGTTTTCTTCTCTTCTTCCCAGGCTGAGAATTAAAATCTAGGGTCTTGGCCATGCTACGCAAGCACTCTACCACAGAGCTACTCTCTAGCCTTCATTTATTTTCCTGTAGTGAGTGTCTGTCCATGATACCAGAGTGATGCTGGACCCCTCCCCCCTTAGATATGCTGGATAAATTTAAGAATATCAAAAGATTTTTTTAAACCAATAACTAGCACTTAAACTTTTAACCTGGGCCATTATTAAGAAATCAGAGGGCATAGCTTTTGCCATTAAAGAAGTCACTGTCAGGAGTCAAAGGAAATGTGCTTTGGTGGCAAATGAGCATCTGCACTACTGGACAGGTAGAGATGGTGGTGGTGATACGCATAGGGATGCAGTTAGATTGCTAGGCCGAAAAAGTGAATCTGGAAATTCAAAAACAAAAACTAGCTGATTTAAGAATACTACCTTATGATACTGTCTGGTAATATAATTACAAAGCCTGTGTCAAACAAATTTTTCAATTTTTCCCAAAGAATAAACTCTAAATTCATTCTAAGACTTTTGCTCAGACAGCCACTGACTCCTTAGAAACATCTTAGACTATTCTACATCAGGCTTACTTGTTATAATTTACTTTAATGAAGCATCTTAAGAACTGTCTTAAGATCCAGAAAAATTGTCCTGCTTCACTGATTAGATGAGCTGCTCAAAAATCTGGATAATTGTGGAGTGTTCCAATTCCTGAGATAAATTCCCCAAGATGTTCATTCATTGACTGGAGGTGATGAATCCCATTTTAGGAGGTATTGGGATGGTTCTAATCCTGTCTCGGGAGATCCCAGAGTCATCCAATTCTTTTTCGAGGTCCTGGCTATTCTGATGCCATTTGGGGAAGTCCCAGGTGGTTCTATTCCCATTTCTGGTGGTCCCAGGTGGTTCTAACAGCAGACTCTTGGCTTCCTGAGCTTGAACTATTTGGAACTCTCCATCATGTTTGTGAGCTCACTGCCAGGCTAGAGTTGACCTGATTTGTGAGGGTTGTCAACCAGATCCCTAAAGAATGGACAAAAGAAGCTTAGAGGGTGTAACATGGGACTTGAAGTTGCCATGGGTTGTTTTGCTGTAGAGTTGAATTGGTGCCACATTGGGAAGGGTGGAGAACCAGGCACTGCACACCTGGAAGAACTGATTACTCGGCAAGGGACGAGCTGACATTAGGGGATGATGTGTCAAACCAACACCATCGGCCTCTTTCTAGGTAGGATCTTAGATTGCCTACAAGGTTGTGCTAGAAGAGTCCTAAACTTTTTCCCACGTGTGGCAGTTCACAGAGAACATGCTCAAAGTCACAGGTAGATGGTCCCACATTTTCTCTTCTGGGGCCCAGATTTAGTTCTCCATCCTGCTGTCCTTTGTTCCTCATACTATGTAGGGATATAGTATGACCTACAATATGGACAGAATCTGGACTGGTGACTTTCATCCTGTACCAAAAATGCAAACAAGCTTACTGAACCATGGACTCTTGTGACTTGGGCATCAGACCCGGACCCCACTTTGCTCTCCACCTAAGATAGTGAATGAATGTGGTATGCTTGAATTAAAGCAGTGAAAGCAACGTATTCACATAAGTATCCTCACTGGAAACTGAGAGAAGTAAGCTTGACATTGTGTGTATAGTTATTTCAAGACTAGGGATCCCAGGGCAAGATTCCCTGATAAGGATGGATCCATGCTTGTAGTTCCGGATGCTGGAGAAGCAATGTAAGTATGGGTGAGGCCTCGATCAGGAGCACAGTTCCCTGAAACATCAGAAGGAACAGAAGATTGTCAGAGTTCAGGCCCACTCTTAAAACTAGTGCTAAGAGTCAGGCTGATTGTTTATTCAGGTACAATTGAAATGTGGCTTAGAAAT